GTATTAGCAATTACATTAGCCATTCATAAGATATCCAGTCAACAAAACAATAAAGCACCAAGTATTATTGATATCTTTCCAAAACAATGAAAAGAGAAACAGAAAGGCATTAGGGGAGATGAGCATCCTAATTATTAACCTACGCTACACATTTACAGAACTTCCCAAAAAATTTCATGAACTTTCCAACCAAAGGCCACTAAACATCTAAAGCCACTAAACAGCATGGAATTCGTCCACTGCAACCCCAATTCTCATCTAGAAGTGACGTGGCTTCTAAGGGCCTGATCAAGACAGCCACCATCATCAAAGTTGAGAGTGTAGCTGCGGATGTCATAGCTGAACGGGATTCTTCTCATGCTTTGTGTATTCAGGAACTTCATGGCCAATGTCAAGAAGGTAATGAATGAAACCAAAAGAGAGAGAGGGTTGTGAAATGGAACCAGAGGTTGAGGTTTCTCTGTATAAACTATAAACTGCACAATATTCACTCACTGATGCCAGGCCAGCAACTAACATGGGAGAGATAATCTCTGAGTAACCCAGAAGCACTGCATTAAGCATTGTGTTCCAAGAAGTCTCTGGCAGACCCAGCTCACAGTCCCACAAGCCATCACAGCTGGGAAGATTGGACAACAAAATATTCAAGCAAGAATCATGTCATGAACACACAGAAACCCAAATGCAGAAACGAGGTAACAAGACACAGTGCGCAAGAAATGTCGAAGATTTATATGCATTAAAGGTAATGCTAGCTGCTAATTACAGGTTACAACTCTCTCTGACCAATACTGCAAATGGGTTTGTTTCCCAAGTTGATAAATCTACAACAACAAGCATCCACAACACGCAACGAGAGCTGTGCGGTGTGTGAATTCCCAGTCCCTCATCCCAGAACCTCAAACTGAAAGCAGCTGGATCAACTAGTCACGAAGGAATAAGAGCATCACAAACTTGATGAAAAGCCAGAGAGAGAGAAGCAACTTAATCGGATGAACTGGAAGGTTTGGGCTCAGAAACTGCTGAAGCGAGAAATTACAGCAAAAGGCGAGGAGCAGCAGGCCAGCAGCAGACAAGTGGGATGCCAATCAAAATCAAAATTCAGGAAAGGTAAAAGGAGCTTACTGGGATTCCATCTCTGTTTTGTACGGTGATTTAGGATGTGACCAAAGGCAGAAGCTTCGAACCCAGAGGAGTTGCTCGTGAAATCGCCAATCTCCAAAAGCTTCGAACCCAGAGGAGGAACAGAATAACAGGGGAAGAGCGAGGCGAAGAGCGAAGTTGATGGTGGTGAATGGTGAAGCGGATTCCTCCCTGTCAAAGGCTGGAACGATGATGGCGGCGCGGCGAGGACGATGATGGCAGCGCGGCGCGGCGAGGACGATGATGGGCTGAAGCGAGGAGGCTTTGTCCTCTGTTTTGTCTCGCTCTGTTTCGTTTTCCAAAAGCGAAGAGACAGCGACGGAAGGGCTGAAGGGCTAGGGTAGGGTTGCTCACTTGCTCTTGCTATCAAAAGCCAAAACGACAGCGTGCGTGACTGATGCTAGCATCGGGTTTTGCGGGTTTTTCGGTTTTGCGGGTTTTGGTAAACCGAACCCGCTGCTGTGTCCATCGGGTCGAACCCGAAAAAACCGAAACTGGCACTGTTTATATCGGTTCGGGTTCGGGTTAAACCGAAAACCCGAAACCGAATTGACAGGCCTACTGTAGAATGATTAATTGAAGGGGGTTCGTTTTACGGAAACTTGGACAAGTTAGCTAGGGTTCTTTGTATGAAAAGGGAAGTTAATTAGTCACCATCGGTATCCCGCGGCTAGGAAAATGTCGGAGTAGATCTCGGTTTCTTTCCGCTTTCAGAAATTCTCAACCTTCAATGTGAATTCCTTAGTCTCCATCATCTTCATCACCGCCCGGCTCAACTTTCCGAGTTCCAAGTAGCCTGTATGCCCAACCTGTTAACTGGAGAGGAAGGAAGAGGCAAAACAAAACAACACAAAACGAAGCTAGCTATTTCTATCGAAGTTCGATGAATTAACTATTTATATTAATTTAATTTATTGTCTCTTCGATGAGTGATTATCAAGGGTTCATGGTCGCTAATAACCTAATTAGCTAGAGATCAGTATATTGTTGGCCAATCATCTAAGTTTGAAAGCAGCTACACGATGTTTCCTACCAAAAGTTAGGAACTAGTTAGTTCATGATGAAAATATAACATACAAATATGTCCACACAAAAATAAAGAGAATACTGGATTATCGAACAATGCAATTCCTTTCGTCGCGTTCGCTGCTCCTGCTTTCTCCCCTGTCCGTTGCTTGTTTTGCAGATAATCAATAACCTACGTTACAAGAATCAACTAGCTTAGGGTTTTATATATATTATAATTTTTCCCCTTTTCCTTGTCGGTACATAAGTAGCAGGACTCCTGACGAACATGGGCTGCATGACAAGTGGGCTGGGCCCCCACTCCCTCGGCCTGGCCCGTGACTGGCGCTGTGGCGCTCATACACATACCTTTACCGGCGGGAAAGAAGACGGCCGACGGTGAAACTACGATTAGGGATGGCAATGGGTCGGGTTGGGTCAGGTTTTGCCAAATATAAACTCAAATCCATGGGTTTTAAAGTGGAAAAAATTTGGGATAAAACTCACTGGGTTTTAAAAATTCAAACCCAACCAAACACGCTGGGTATCCGTGGGTTCATGGGTATCCACGGGTTTTTGTCGTAAAAAATTTACAATAACAAGTTCCTATCAAAATTAAAGTCAAATATCAATCTCGCAATACAAATTATCCATATATAAAAACATCATTCTAGAAAATTCAAGCAAATCACAAATTAACTATACAAATTGTTCAACACCAATCTAGAAAACTCAAGAAAGTTGAAGCAAATCATAAATTATCCATAAATAACATGATTAATTGAAAGTTTCTTCCTCCTTGTCAATTAAGTTTCTCCACTCGATAACATCAACTTCATTCTACACAATTAGAAAGAAAAAATTAGACATGTCTCTACAAACATAAATAAGATTAGTTGTTTAGAATATTAAATATACCAAAAAAATTAATTATATGGGTGTGAGCGGATACCCATGAGGCGGGTTTACCTAAACCCGAACCCAACCCAATGAATAGTAAACGGGTTTAAACCCAACCCCGACCCAAAACCCGTGAACATGAGTTTTACCCGCATTCGCCAGGTTGGATCGAATAGATATCCATGGGTTCGGGTTTTATTTCCATCCCTAACCACGACACCCCGACTAACAAAAAACATACGCGGCGAAAGGCCTGCTACAATGGCAAGCAGCCAGTAACGAAATCCTGATAAAGGTTGACCCTGTTAAATGAAAAGCAGTACAAAGACGAAGCCATTCAAGGCAGTGAGATTATATTTGAAAACTAAAATTGCATTAAGATAGCAAAAGGATGTTTATGCTCCATAAAGTAAGTTTGCTCAAGCAAGCTAATGGTTCACATTAGAAACCCCAGTAGGATTGAACTTGTAATAAAACGGACAATCAAGGAAACCACTATATAAGAAACTATTTTATGTCATACTGGTCTATCTTCCCTATTATCAATATTGGCTCATGTTTACTTTCATTTCTGTTTCATGTTTTTGAGAAAACAGATGTTAAAAACAGGTGAAAACAACATTTTTTTCGTTTCCGAAAACAGCAGGAAGTTGCCACTTTCTGTTTTCATAGTTGGAAACGAATAGAAAACTGAATGAAAAGTAAACAAGTTTTCTCGTTTCAGTCGCCAAATTTATGACTTGAAAACAGAAAACAGGAAACGAAAAATGGAAATGAACAGGGAGTAAGTGTTCGCAGCCTGACTAACTGTCTAGAACGAGGGAAAGAGAAAATAGGCATACCCTCTTTCAACAATCTCGTCAAGGCATAAGAAGATTGAGATCCAAGTTCTCAAGTACCTTCCGCAGTATAACTGTCATTGAAACTGGACACGTGGAGAATTATAACCCGACTTAACTGCAATATAGGGGGAATCATATCTGGGTGACCTCTCTCAAACTTGAACCATAACTTTTACTGCTTTGTGTCTGTTTAGCTTAGTTACTACTTCACTACAGTTAAACCGCTAAATAATAAGAACTTCACGTAGTAGTCATCACATCTAGGACCCGGGTTGACAATTAAAGCTAAACCCGCTATACTACGCATTAATAGGTGGTTACATTTGGCCACTTTCTAGTGTGACTGTGCAAGCAAGTCAGCTGCCACACTATCGTACCCTAATCTTAATCTCGACGGTCGACTTACACATCTTCTTACAAGTATCCATGCCTGCCTGTACCAGAGCTCGGTTAAATAACCACGAGCGACGGTGGGCTTGAGGCCTAGACCAAAACCAATATAAAAAAAAACAAAACTAGCCTTTGGTTTATACCAAAAGCAGCACAAGACGATATACCAAAACACTTGAACATGTTTCCTGCAAAGAACATCATGTTGCGTGCCACAAAGTGATACTTGGCTCCTAAATTCTTAATAATTTGTCAGTGCAGTGGTGACAATTTTGCGCTAGCAACGTCGCCCACTACTACCAATTATTTGATGAACACCAAAATCTTACAAAATAGCAACGACGACCCACAATTTTGCAAGCAACAACTTTCGGGTTGTGTTGGCCTTCATGATCGTCGTTCCCATTTTTCTTTCACCTTGTATTTCAATTAACTACATTTGATAGAACTTTCATATGTGTAGTGTCTGATAGTTTGAAGCATATCCTTCGATAGTTATAACATTTAGATATGGTGAGATAAATTTAAGATGTGCAATGTCTACGGTCACATAATTCAAGCCCATCATATCTTTGGCCACTCTGTCTCGTACAAATGAAACCTTGAACTCTGCCATTATATATGTTCATCAGTAACATATTTGGCCAATTTACCATGTATTACTGCGCTACAGAGCTACCTTTTGTTCTGCCAACAATAATCAGAATCAAGTTGATGGATCGAGTAGTTTCTTGATGAAAAAGTTTCCACAATTACAGAATATAAGGTCTAATCTAATTCCCCGTTAACTATCCATATAATTTACTCCCTTAACATAAATAAATACTGGAATAACTTCCAAGAAGAAAAAAAGGATGTTTCTAACAAAAACTAAATCACCCTTTCAACTGTAGTCACCATGGCAAAAAGACATATGGCCTAACCGATACTACTTCTCGTTCAAGGCACAGATTCAATGAAATTGCTAACTTGGAGCTTCAATAGTCTCGACAGCCTGCAAGCAAAGTGATCAGACGCACGTTAAATCAAAACCCATCAAGGGAACGCAGAGGAAGTATATATATAGAAGATTCAAAGTCCTGCTAGTTTCAACACTTAACTGTAGAAACCACTGCCTTAATAAGAAGGGTATCATCGAGGAGGAACCCTTTCTGAGGATCACGAAGATCGGCCCGTGACACGAATCGGTGGAATCCCCAGGAGGTATAAGATTTTCCATGGAAATTGGTTGCCGAACCTGTTTTGGCGGGTAAGCAAGTATTGAAAAACAGAGTAAGGAAACAACTGCGACAACAAAAACAGAGTAAAGAACCTGCAGGAAAATCTGCAGACGGCATGGATGAAAGCATCTATCTTTAGATGGAGAAAGATATATAAGAGACAGAGTCACCCACACTTTCGCACAGAGGAGGTGCCGTTGAGTTGGTCGAGAAGAGTCAAGCTGATGATCGCTGGCACATTCCATCCCCAGGGCTCTGTTTTCCAGTCGACAAATTTCACATATGCTGCCAGAAAACCGGGAATACGACGTTTCCCATACGGGTAAATCATAATCCTCCTGCAGAATGATTAATTGAAGTGGGGTTCGTTTTACAGAAACTTGGCCAAGATGGCTAGGGTTCTTTGGATGAAAAGGGAAGTTAATTACCATCTGTGGCCCGCGGCTAGGAAAATGTCGGAGTAGATCTCGGTTTCTTTCCGCTTGGAGAAATTCTTAACCTTCAATGTGAGTTCCTTAGTCTCAATCGTCTTCATCACCGGCCGGCTGAACTTTCCGAGTTCCAATTAAAGTAGTAAACTGAGAACTGTATGCCGAAACTGTTGAGTGGACAGGAAGGAACCGGCAAAACAAAAATAAACAAAACACCCGGATTCAATACCTATCATATTCAAATTAACTACTCAAATTCCACTATTGTATCTCAATGAATTAACTATATTTAGTCTTAAGCTCATTATCTCATTTAAAACTTAATTCGTTGTCGATAAGTTACTATGCTCCATGGAATATGTTCAGTTATTAGGGTTTCACTTTCGTTAATGACCTATTTAACTAAGAATCATTGTATTGGTAGCCATTAGCCAAGCAATACAAGGCATTAAATAAATTTCAGAGCAATAAAAATTTGAAGAAATCATCAAATCTAAAAACAACAACATCCTAGTAGTATTTCTCTCCATTGAAGTTTATTTCATAATAAAAATAAAACACAAGAATATATATCTATATAATGAATAGTAAGAAAAAGAAAAAGAATATATATCGAACGACGAACAATGGAATTCCTTTCGTCGCTTCTCCTCTTTCTCCCTCCACGCCAAGCTCGCCGTTCTGTCCAATAAATTAAGAATGATTAGGGTTATATATTTCGTTTCCCCCTTTTCCTTGTCGGTACTCGGTACAAGCTACATAAGTAGCAGGACCCTCGACGTGTATGGGCCGCATGACAATTGGGCTGGGTCTGGGCCCCACTCCCTCGGCCTGGCTCGTGACTGGCGCTCATACACATACCTTCACCGGCGGGAAAGAAGGCGGCCGACGGTAGGACCACGACCCCTCGCGAAATAAAACATAATACAAATGCGGCGAAAGGAAGAGCTACAATGTTAAATGAAAACTGTTACTCTCTATTCTTAAAAGTCCTGTTCTTAGTTCCTGCAACCATGCTGGTCGGTAACAACAATGCAGCAGAATGGTCGTTTTAATAGCGAAATGTTGAAACAACACAACAATCGTCAAGACATTGATGTTTGAGAAGAGTAAAATCTGAGCAAGTACAAGTGCAGTAACAAGCCTTAAACTGGAGAGGTTAAACTTTCAAGATTTGTAAGCTCGCAGGTAAAAAAAAAATCATGGGAATAAACTATGAATAAAACTCCCCAAATTTCTCAACAAGTTCATCCTAACGAATGAGAACCAGGATCTTTGCTATCACGCAGTCTCTTGTTGATTTGCCTCACTGGAAGAGGGTTCTCGTTAAATGCTCCCGAGCTGTAGCCAATGCTTGAGAGATCGTCTGTGCAATTGAAAAGCAGAGGGGGAAAAGATGAATGAAGATATGAACCTATGATGCCATAGAAGACAGTAACGGAGGATGCAATCAGAAAGCCAACCTGCTCAGACAATGGTGCAGCAGGATCCATGCTATTGACGGCCACCTTTCCGGCAATGACATTGGCATCAGTCTCCAATATCATCCTGGAGCAAAGTAATCCTCAAGTAAGAAGCAATAAAACACGCTCCTGTGGTAAATTTATCAAAAGACAAAGCCTGACAAGCAAGCAGTGCAGAGAAGGAGCCATTCAAGGCATTGAGATTATATTTGAAATGAAAAAATGGATTAAGCTAACAAAAGGATGTTTATGCTCCATAAAGTAAGTTTGCTTAAGCAAGCTAATGGTCCACATTAGAAACCCCAGTAGGATTGAACTTGTAATAAAACGGACAAGCAAGGAAACCCTATTATCTTCCCTATTATCAGTATTGGCCTTAAATCCTAACTGTCTAGAACGAGAGAAAGAGAAAACAGGCATACCCTCTTTCAACAATCTCGTCAAGGCATAAGAAAATGAGATCCAAGTTCTCAAGTGCCTCTCTCTTGTCAACGTTGTTCCTATGTCAAGAAGGAAGATTGAGTCAATCACACTGAAGAAATTATATGAAAGAAAGCAAGCCCAGGACAGTACTTAGAACTACCTCAGGAGAAGAGCAACAGAATCAAAGAAACCTTGGAGCACTGCAGACAATATAAGTTCATTTTCATCATCCCCTCCGGTGACAAAGAAGTGGAGATCCTGAATGAACTTGTACACAATGATGTAGTTGTCAAACATGGTAATCTCCGCTGGGCCAGAACAATAAATAAATGGGTCAGCAACGCAATCAAGCATGACTTTACAGCTTAATTAGAGTATTCAGATTCAACTAAAACCCGCATAACGTTGATCAAACAAACCTTCTGTCCGGGCATTAGTCTTCATTGTTTTGGTAAACAGAGCTTTCTCAAAGGCTAGCTTGGAGTTATTCGTCGGCCAGTCATCTGAATAGTACTTGACAGCCACGCGCTTCCCTTCCGAATCCAGTAAAAGAATGTTCTTCACAGTAGGGCAGGCATCCTGCAAACAACAGATCAAGCATATCCCTCATTCCCTAAATCAAGCGAAACCCAAGAATATCCACCGCAGAATAACACCACAAACTCACTGATTCACTGTAAACCCTAAATCTTAAATTCGCCAAAATCCATTTTCAAAAGCCTAAAAACAAAATATTTTACCCCTACGCCAGTTTATCATCACTCAACCGATCTATTCATGTACCAGTTGGATCAAACGAAATTCCGCTCTCCGGAAACCCAACTGTAGAGATCTCCAGTGCGGCAGTAAGCAACAGTTGTGGAATTGAGACAATCTATGCCGCGCTCTCAACAAGCGGACCAAGCAGAGCACATTCGTGATTTCAGTACCAATCATATCAGATCCAATAGCTTTTCATCTAGCTAAGTACGAATCTGAGATCTGCGGAAAGAAAGGTGGAGGAGAGAATGACTTACGCGAAAAGAAGAAAGGGCCATGGATGTGAGATTGAAAGCGCGAGAGTTGATTTCAGAGGAAGAACTCGACGTTTTGGTTATAAAAGTTCTGTTTTTCTAATTTGGAGCCATTTAAATGCGCAGCTTTTTTTTTCTCCCTCGATCCGGGTGTTAAATGCATCAGGTGTCATTTAAGTTTTACTTTTTTTTATATAATTTTTTTTATATAAATTTAAGTTTTAGTTTTGTTGCTATGTTAGCCGTAACATTCCCAACCTTTTCCCAAGGAAGATATTGTTTGTTTTTGGCTTTCCATAAGGTCATCTATCCTTATTGTACTCTAAACTACGCACGTTTAACTTCGGAGTTCTCAAAAGAACTCCTCCATTTCACCCAAAAATGCGTCTTGTTAGTTCAGACTGGTTTCCAACTTATGAACCATGGATCTCTCCCGTGCTTTGTCGATGTGAGATTTGCCTAAGGTGTTACATACACCTCCCCTTGGGACTCAACGGCCTCAATGATGTTTGATCCATCATCGTTCAAGAGGGACGCGGAGAGGCTCTGATACCACTTGTAACATCCCGAACCTTTTCCCGAATAAGATATTATCCGCTTTGGGTCTCGACCCTCGCGGATTTTTACTTGGGGTGCAATTCAAGGTGACTTCCCATAAGGTCACCTATCCTTGTTGTACTCCAAACTGAGCACGTTTAACTTCGGAGTTCTCACAATAACTCCTCCATTTCACCCCAAAATGCGTCTTGTCAATTAACCATGGTTTCCTACTTATGAACCATGGATCTCTCTCGTGCTTTGTCGATGTGGGATTTGTCTAAGGTGTTACATACCCCTCCCCCTCTCCCCCGGGACTCAACGCCCTCGTTGAGGTTTGACCCACCATCGTTCAAGAGGGACGCGAAGAGGCTCTGATACCACTTGTAACATCTCGAACCTTTTCTCGAACAAGATATTGTCCGCTTTGGGCCTCGACCCTCACAGGTTTTTACTTGGGGTGCAATTCAAGGTGACTTCCCATAAGGTCACCTATCCTTGTTGTACTCAAAACTGAGCACGTTTAACTTCGGAGTTCTCACAAGAACTCCTCCATTTCACCCCAAAATGCGTCTTGTCAGTTAAAGAGGGACGCGGAGAGGCTCTGATACCAGTTGTAACATCCCGAACCTTTTCCCGAGCAAGCATATTGTTCGCTTTGGGCCTCGACCCTCACGTTTTTTTACTTGGGGTGCAATTCAAGGTGACTTCTCATAAGGTCACCTATCCTTGTTGTACTCCAAACTGAGCACGTTTAACTTCGGAATTCTCACCAGAACTCCTCCATTTCACCCCAAAATGCGTCTTGTCAATTAAGGCCGGTTTCCTACTTATAAACCATGGATCTCTCCCGTACTTTGTCGATGTGGGATTTTCCTAAAGTGTTGCAGACAACCCCCTTGGGACTCAACGCCCTCGTTGAGGTTTGCCCCACCATCGTTCAAGAGGGACGCAGATAGTCTCTGATACCACTTGTAACATCCCGAACCTTTTCCCGATCAAGATATTGTCCGCTTTGGGCCTCAACCCTCACGGTTTTTTACTTGGGGTGCAATTCAAGGTGACTCCCATAAGGTCACCTATCATTGTTGTATTCCAAATTGAGCACGTTTAACTTCGGAGTTCTCACAAGAACTCCTCCATTTCACCCCACAACACGTCTTGTCAGTTATGGTCGGTTTCCTACTTATGAACCATGGATCTCTCCCGTCCTTTGTCGATGTGGGATTTGCTTAAGGTGTTACATTAACCATCTAGCTTTTTTTGGTAGCAACTAAAACATACAAGTTTAATTTTTGTTGCACCGCCTCTTTTTCTGTCTCTAAAGTTAATGGCAAGTATCAAAAGGTAATTTTCATGGCACATCGACAATCCAACTCAGCTCAATTGTTGAGTCAGATGATGTGCTTCCTTTTACATGTGAGGCTGGTACATTTTGAAGCTCTTATACGGATTTCCTCCCCAAAACCCCTCCACCGCCACCATCCCTCGCTGAGTTATGCTTCTCCAACGCCAATTGTGTCACTCACTGCTCCTCTTCAAGAAATCCTAATACAAACCTTTAAGCTCGTCAAAGGTCTTGAAAATTCAATAGTCGACCAAGTTTGTCATCGGGACTTCCCAGACGAGTTACCAATCAAGATTCCTTGAAATGTAGCAGCAAAATGAGGAAGGGAGATGTTTGGCGTTGAAAGACGATGAGTAAAAAAAACACCATCAAACACTATGGAGTTCTAAATCTTGAGCACCTCTGAATTTCCAAACAATAGGTCTTGCGGGATGCACCGGAGGAGAAGCAGGCGAACTAGAGGGATGCAAAGGTGATGCTCGAGGGCTAGAGTTCGTTCGAGGAAGAATAATTTCAGGTGGAGATGATGGGTCTGGGTGGAATCTAACCATTATGTAATGGATAAAAATAAGATAATTTGGGGAGGGCCGGGATGATGGCTAGATTATGTTCTCAACACGGCGAGGAGGAGAGGGAGAAAGGAATGATGAGGTGTTTGAGAATTGGTTGGTTGAGGGATAGGAGTGGAGAGAACTAGGGGATGGTGAATTTTAACAATGGTGACGACTGTGACGGAGAAGCGGCGGTGAAGGTCAAGCTAGAGGTATATATCTAGAAGATCATGGACGGTAAAAACTCTTTGCATTAGATCTTCCAAAACTTATAGATCTTCGGATGCTGATACCCGAGCACAAGCTAAGAGAGGCAAAGGTGGAGCATCGTCTTGAAAAAATGATCGTCTCCGCCGCTTGCCTTGGGGAGTGTATACGATAAAAATCATTTGGTGGATGATCTCATTGGGAAGTTCTGATGGCTAATCCTAATCCTTGGGGGGATAAAAATGGAGAATTTAGTAATCGACGATGCCCATTTGATGGACCCTGTATTCAACCGACATCATACGATACACCATCATTACTAGTAGTAACTTACCCTCTATTTCTCTTATACGTGGAAGGCTAGGTATGAGCTGGATCCTCCTACTGTCCACTCATCTTTACATCATAATTCCCTCCAACAATCGTTGCATGCATTATTCATCCATCCGAGCAACTAATGGAACTCTTATCTCCCACGTAATCAAGTCTTCCTTTCCATCTAATCCATGTGTTAAAAATGAGACAAGGTGTCATATAATTGCACCCCCTATTCATCATCTCATGGTTGAGTGGTAAAACAACAAATCCCCACCTCATGTACATGTAGGAAGCAACTGATGCTTCTTGGGTGGGTGGAAAATTTACCCTCCAAAATAACCTCATCCACCATCTTTTTACTTTCCGCATGGATGAAGAATGGATGGTGTGCCAAGTCCACTAATCATCACCCTCAATCAAACACAATTACATGCAATTTACTACCTACACATAATGCATGAGGTGGTTTTATTCATATCATATATTGCCTCCGCCAAACTCACTCCCCTTTAACCTACCGTGGAGAAGAAGGAAGGAGTTTCTACACCAATGTGAGTTTCTTAACCTTTGTTTAAATTGTTAATTCATTTAATTAATATGCTTTATTTACAAACAATAAAGAATATGCCACCCACACTAGGAGCAAGAGACGCCTATAAATAGGATGCCCATTTATGCTTTTTCGAGAGTTCATTTCGGATAAAACTCTGAATTTCTTTCTAAAGCCGGCTCAATACGCCGGCCCGAGTTACTCTTCTCTCAATACTGACTTGAGCTTCGGAGTAGGTCCCCGCTGACCACCGTCGGCGGGTCCTTTTTTGCATCAAGCCATCAATAATTGGCGCCCACCGTGGGGCCCGATGAGATTAATACAAACAAACCGTCAATCACCAAGATGAGGTGGACACACAGGATCTGCAACCCGAACTCGGGATTCATCAAGATGCAACTCCAAACATCAATCAAGTTGCTATCTTTAAGAATCGAGGATCCCAATGAGATGGAAATGTAGGATCTGCAACCCGAAGAAGGGATTCGTCAAGATGCAGCTCCAAACATGAAACATCAATCAAGTTACTATCTTCAAGAATCGAGGATCCCAACGAGATGGGCATGCAGGATCTGCAACCCGAAGAATTGGCAACTGACATCAACAACCTATAGTGAGGGTTGATGAAAATTTCCATCAACAATTTGCGCTTACTATGGAACCCGGTGAAAAAATTTACAAATTGTCATTGTCAACGTCAAACCCGCTAGGAGAGATGGTGCAGAAACCTGATGTCGTACAATTCACAACGAGGTGGAGGGGACACCGATTTTGGTCTACCTCTCACAAGACCTACGTTTTAGCGGAAAAGCCCATGTAGTCTACTTTTTTAGTAGAGTTTTTTCCAGAAATAGCACCTTTTAAAAAAAAAAATTACAAAACTAGCACCCTCTCAAAAATATTTACAAAACTAGCACCCTTTTTTATTGACCGCACCCTCGTGATGCGTTTTACATATAAACCGCATCCCCCAGGTGCATTTTATATGTAAACCGCACCTGGAGGGTGCGTTCTAATCTGGTGGGCCTAAATCGCACCTTGGCAATGCGTTTTCATGTCTGGCCTACATGAAACGCATGGCCGAGGTGCGGTTTAGGCCTGACCTACCTAAACCGCACCTTAGAGATGCGATTTATTCCTCCAAGAATGAACCGCATCTGTAAGGTGCGGTTTAGCCATGTAGATCGCACCCCCCAAGTGCGGTTTACGTGTCAATTATTTTCCGACACCCGACACACCCATGCAGAGAATTATGCACGTAGGGCTGCATGGCAGACTAAAACCGCACCCTAGAGGTGCGGTTTTCACAATTTTTTCCCCTATATAAGACTTGCCGGAAAACCTCTACTCTTCACACCTCTCATTCTCTCTTTCATTTTTCTGTTGTATATCGATTAACTATTTAGTGTGTTTCATTAAGATTAACTCGTAAGTTTTTTTTTTGTTACTTTTTATGCCATTAACATT